CAAAGCTACATTAACATGGCTATGTTAATATGAGATAAAGTAGAGTTCAGACCAAAGAAAATGACCAGAGACATTACATCCTGGCAAAAAGGTCAATCCACCAAGAAGACGTAACAATTCTAAATGTCTATGCAGCAAACAAAAGAACTGCAAAAGGAGGTGAATCAGAAGATGAAGCAAAAACTGATAGAATGAAGGAGAAACAGACAAATCCACACTGGTATTTGGAGACTTCAAAGCTCCTCTCTCAACAAATGATAGAAGAACTAGACAGAAAATCAACAAGGATATAAAGGAACTCAACAACACCGCTGTGCAGCAAATGGCTAATTCAGCCGGCCTGGGGTATGCAAACATTGCACAATCCAAAGAAAGGAGTGGCCCTTGGCTGGTTCTTGTGAGATAACCTTAGTTCTTAGAATATCCTGCTCTATAAGACCGTCTTATATCCCCTGACATCTTGGGCCAAAGAATAAAGTTTATACTAATAATGTGATTAATAGTAAATGCCTGTTTTTGTGTGCTTGGGGCCCTGGGCCATGCTGTAACAGTTTGACCTCTGAGTAACAAATGTAACCTCGGGTACAACAGTTTTTCTGAGTTTTGTGAGTCCTTCTAGCAAATCATTGAACCTGAGGGTGGTCTTGGGGACCCCTGACACAACCATCAAACAACACAATCTAACAGACATTCACAGAACATTTCACCCAACATCAGCAGAATATATTCCTTTCAAGCACACATGGAACATATATCAAGATAGACCATATCTTGGCCCATAAACAAACCTCAGCTAATTTAAAAGGAATGAAGTCATACAGAATGTGTTCTTCCACCACAATGGAATCAAACTAGAAATCAATTAAGAATGATAACAGAAAAATATTCAAAGACTTGAATACTAAACAACATACTTCTAAACAATCCATGGGTAAAAAGGAAGTCTCAAGGGAAATTTAAAAACATACACTGAACTGAATGAAAATGAAAATACAAAATATCAACATTTTTGGTACACAGCTAAACTAGTGCTGACAGGGACATTTATAACACTAAATGCTTACTATGAAAGAGGAAAAGTCTCAAATCAATAATCTAAGCTTCTACCTCAAGAACATTGGAAAAAAAGAGCAAAATAAACCCAAAACAAGCAGAAGCAAGGAAATAAAGAGCAGAAATCAGTGAAACTGAAAACTGAAAAATAATTGATAAAATCCATGAAACAAAAAAAAAATCTGTTTTTTAAAAGATCAATAAAACTGACACATTTCTAGCAAGACTGACCAAAAAAAAGAGAGAGAGAGACAGAGAGAGAGAGGACTCACATATCCTCAATATCAAGAATAAAATGGGCTGTTGCTATAAACCCTGCAGACATCAAAAGGAAAACCAGAAAATATTATAAACAACTCTACACACACAAATTTTGACAACTTAGATGGAATGGACTAATGCCTCAAAAAACACAAACTACCACAACTCACCCAATAGGAAACTGATAATCTGAAAAGCCTTGTAATTACTGAGAAAATTGAATTCGTAATTTTAAAATTCTCCCCCTGAAAAAACTACAGGCCCAGGTGATTTCACTGGAAAATTCCACCAAACATTTAAAGAATTAACACCAATTCTACACAATTTCTGCCAGAAAAGAGAACAAGAGGGAACATTTCCCAATTCATTTTATGAAGCTAGTATTACCCTGCTCTCAAAATCAAAGAGAGCACAAAAAATAAAACAATAAACCAATAACCTTCATGAATATAGATTTAAAAATCCTTAACAAAACATTAACAAGTATCATTCAGCAATCCAGAAAAAGAATTTTACACCCTGACTACGTGGGGTTCATTCAGAATAAAAGCTGGTTCAGTATTTGAAAATCAATCAATGCAATCCACCATACTAACAGACTACAGGAAAAAAACATATATCAAATCAACTGATGTGGAAAAAGCATCTGACAAAATTCAACACACATTCATGATAAAGATTCTCAGAAAATGAGGTAAAGAGATGATCAACCTGATAAAGAGCATCTACAAACCCATACAGCTAATGTTATACTCAACGGTGAAGGACTGAGTACTTTTCCCTAAGACTGGGAACAAAGCAAGGCTATGTGCTCTCACCACTCTTATTCAACGTAGCCCTGCAAGTTCTAGTCAGGGGAACAAGGCAAAAAAGCAAATCCAAAGCACACACATTAGAAAGGATGATGCAAACTCTCCCTATTTGCAGTCAACCTTGAGGAATCTACAGAAGTCTCATACAACTATTAAGTTCAGCAAGGTGGCAGAAAACAAGATAAACATAAAGAAAATCAATTTTATGTCTATATGATAGCAACGAACATGTGGACACCAAAATATAAAAATACAATACCATTTACAATTGCTCAAAAACTGAAAACTCCAAAATGCTGATGAAAGAAATCAAAGATGATTTAAATAAAGGGAAAGAGACATTGAGTTCACAGATTGGAAGACAATGTTGTAAAGACATCAATTCTTCACAAATTGATATGCAGGGTTAATGTAATTCCTATCAAAATCCCAAGAAGATTTTAAATATAGACAATGCTATTCTAAAATTTATATGGAAAGACAAAAAAGAAAAAAAAAACGAAACCCAAACAGCGAAAACAATTTTGAGAAAGAAGTGAGAGGAATCAGTTTCCATGATTTGAAGAGTTATTCGAAAGCTATAGTAATCAAGAGATTGTGGCACTGGTGGAGGGATAGACACATAGGTCAATGCAACAGAACAAAAAACCCAGAAGTAGACCAATACAAATATATGCAATAATTTTTGAGAAAGGTGCAAAAGCAATTCAACAGAGAAAGGATCATCTTTTTAACCAATGGTCTTGGAGCAGGTGGACACCCATAGGTAAAAAAATGGACCTCAACTGAAGCCTCACACCTTATACAAAAATTAACTCAGAATAAACCATGGACTTAAATGTAAAATGTAAAACTATACAAAACTTTTAGAAAAAAAACACAGGAGAAAATCTAGGGCCTGCATAGAGTCCTCACCCTTGACACCAAACCATGATCCATAGAAGGAAAATTGATAAATTGGACTGCATCAAAACTAAAAACTTCTGCTGTGTGAAAGACTCTGTGAAAACACAAGATAGAGACTGGGAGAAAATATTTGTGAGCAACATATTTGATAAAAGATTAGTACCTAGAATATACTCTCAGAACTCAACCGGAAAAAAAGAAGAGAATGATCCCATTAGAAAATGGGCAAAGACGAGAACAGACATTTCACCAAAGAGGATATATAGATGGCAAATAAGCAAGGAAAATATGTCAACATGATTAGACATTAGGGAAATTAGAATTGAAACCACAATAAGGTACCAGAACATCTATAAGAATGGCTAAAATAAAAAACAGTGACAACACCAAATGTTGATAAGGATGTGCAGAAACTGGATCACTCATATACTGCTGGTGGGAATATAAAATGGCAGAGCCACTCTGGAAAACAGTTTGGCGCTTTTGAGAAAAACTAAACATACAACTATCAAACAATAAACATACAACTATCAATCTAGCAATTCCACTTTGTTCATTTATTGCAGAGAAATGAACGCTTATATTTTTACACAAAAACCTGTAAAGAAATGTTCATAGCAGCTTTATTCATTATAGTCAAAAACTGCCAACAATCTATGGGGCCAGCCCTGTGGCAGAGTGGTTAAGTTCATGCACTCCACTACGGTGGCCCAGGGTTTTGCCAGTTCAGATTCTGGGTGCGGACATGGCACTGCTCGTCAGGCCATGCTAAGGCGGTGTCCCACATAGCACAACCAGAAGGACCTACAACTACGACATACAACTATGTACTGGGAGGCTTTGGGGGAAGAAGAAGCAGCAAAAAGAAGATTGGCAACAGTTGTTAGCTCAGGTGCCAATCTTAAGAAAAAAAACTGGAAACAATCTACATGTCATTCAACAGGTGAACAGTTAAACTGTGGAACACCCATACCATGGAATACTACTCAGCAATAGAAAGGAATAAACTACTGATACACTCAATGACTTGTATGGACCTCTAGTGAATTATGCTAAGTGCAAAAGGATAATCCCAAAGGTGGTATATACTGTATAACTCCATTTACATAACATTCATGAAATGAAAAAAATCATAGAAATGAAGAACAGATTAGTGTTTGCCAGGGGTTAAGGATGGGGGTGGGGGTAGGGTGGGAGGGAGGTGGGTGTGGCTATAAAAGGATAACACAGGGATCCTGTGGTGATGGAGTTGTTCTGTATCTTGATTCCATCAGTGTCAAATCCTGGTTGTGATGCTGTACTATAGTTTTACAAGATGCTATCATTAGAGAAAACTGGTAAATGGTAGAGGGGATTGCTCTCTACTATTTTTTACACATATGCTTTTACAATCACCTCAAAATAAAAAGTTTCATTAAGAAAGAAAAAAAAAAAGAAGAAACCTATAAATCATGCTATTTATTTACTGAGCACCTGCTGTATAGCCAGGCCCTATGTAAGGTACTCACATGAACATTTCTTATTTAATCTTCATAAACCCTATAAAGATTATGCCTATTTCCTAAGTGATCTTTCTGGAATACTGATTCTTTGTGACATTAATAGCCTTCCTTGAGAGGTGTTCTGTAAAAAGCATTCCCTAGTCAAGTAGTTTGAGAAACATAAAAACAATTTTTTTTTTGCTGTAGGATTTCTCACGGCCTTTAATATATTAACATACATTATAAATATTCAAAAGGAGGCCATCATACACAACTCTTCTCAAATTTCTTTAATTTTGAAACTCTTGTCTTCTTGTAATGCCTATTAACAACTTATATTCTCGTAATCCACCATAATAAATGTTGAGTTATGGTATTCTATCAACATCCCTGCTGGAGTTGGGTTTTACGTGTTTTTTCAATTTAGGCTATAGATTTACCACCCGAATATACCCTCATTATAGTGCTGGTGACCCAAACTACTTACCACGTAACAATATAAACAGATCGCAGTACTAATGTGAAGACCAACATTCCATACATGACCTGAATAAGAAAGGAAAAATGAAGTTAGTAAAATCATTATTCTTTGGCAAAGGAAGTACATTTTGCCTACAAAAATTGCCCTCCCAATTAAATATAAATATTTATTCTCTTTCATACATTTTAAAGAACAGGATTTTTTTAAATGTGTAATTATGAAGAATTAAAAGCCTGCTTATAAACAACCAATATCAGAAGTCCCATAATCAATTTTAATTCTGAATGGTTACATGACATTTTAAATATCTGCTGAAACCTGAACAAATGGTATAATTTGGCTTCATACTCCCCAGACCCTTCATTTCTCTTTAGCTTCACTTTCAGCACATGACTCTACTTCCCATTTTGTAACAACATAAATCTGAACTCTTTTAAACTCTCCTCCTAAATGTTTCCACATTCATATGTATCCTCTCCCTGCATTTTTTTTCTTTTTGCTGAGGATGATTTGCCCTGAGCTAACATCTGTGCCAATCTCCGTCTATATTTTTTAGTATGTGGGCTGCCAGCACAGCATGGCTGCTAACAGAGAGGTGTAGGTCCGCGCCTGGAAACTGAACGTGGGCTGCCAAAGCAGAGCACACTGAACTTAACCACTAGGCCACTGGGGCTGGCCCTCTCCCTGCATTCTTTCTCCCATTCCTAATCTCTAGAGAAACAGGTGTCCATTTCTTCCTGACTGAGGTTAACCGATTCCCCTGTGTTTATTCTAGATGCTCCCACATCTTTCTAGACTTGGCTCCATCAACTAACCTCTTTCTCTCTATATTGAGCACTGGTTAGGTACTACTGTCTGGAAAATTGAACCTGGTAGTAAAATTTAACTTTTAAAGTATGAAATATTAAATACAGAAAATTTTGCATAGAATAGAAATGCACAGTTTAACAAGTATTAATAAAACCAATAGCTGGGAAGGTACCGTTCAAGTCAAGAAACGGATCCCCATTAACAGCCCAGAAGCGCTGCAGGCATTTCTTCCCAGTTCACCCTCTCCCCTCCTCCTTAGAGGAAACCACTCTCCTGACTTTCATAATAAATATTTTCTTGATTTTCTTTACATATTTACTAACTTGAACTGGTCTCTTAAATATGCATTCCTAAAAAATACTGTTTTTTGAATTTTAATTTACAATAGAATATTGCATACATTTGTTTTTATCTTGTCTTAAGATTCAGTTAGGTTATGTATGTAGACACAGTTCACTCATTTTTGATGTTATATACCATTTAACTGGATAAAAATACCACGATTTATTTACCCACCCTTGTGTTGATGGACTTTCTGGGTATTTCCAGTTTTCACTGCTATGAACATTCTTACCCCTCTCAGCGCACATGCACGCAGGTTTCTCTAGGCTATGTACTTAGGAATGGAACTGCTGGGTGAGATGCTATGTGCATTATCAAAATTACTGAAAAAGTCAAACTATTTTCCAAAGTGTTTATACCAATGTTTACTCCAATCAATGTGTATGAGTGTTTCTTTTGTGCCACATACTCACCAACACATGCTATAGTCAGACTTCTAAAGTTTTGTCAATCTATGTGGTTTTTAATATGTATTTCCCTGATTACAAGCTGAACGTTGTATGTTATGTTTACTGGCCATTTGATGTCCTCTATTGTTCAAACCTATTTTTTCATTTGATTGTCTGTCATTTTCTTACTTACTCGTTCCTTTCTTAACTTTAAAAAACTTTAAAAATTGAACTATAACACACATACAGAAAAGTGCTCGAAACAAACACAGTTTGATGATTATCACACAAAAAATAACCTCTTTCCCCAAGGTTTACCACTATCCTGACTTCTAACATTAGTTTAGTTTTGCCTGTTTTGAACCTCATTATAAATGGAACTCTAGGGCTGGCCCAGTGGTGCAGGGGTTAAGTGCACACGTTCCGCTTCGGCAGCCCAGGGTTCACCAGTTCGGATCCCGGGTGCGGACATGGCACCGCTTGCCAAGCCATGCTGTGGTAGGCGTCCCACATAGAAAGTAGAGGAAGATGGGCATGGATGTTAGCTCAGGGCCAGTCTTCCTCAGCAAAAAGAGGAGGATTAGTGGCAGATGTTAGCTCAGGGCTAATCTTCCTCAAAAAAAAACACACAAAAAAAGAACTCTATAGTATATATTTATTTGTGTCAAGCTTGTTTTACTCAGTATTATGTGTGTGAGCCTCATTTAACTTGTTATATGAACTGTGTGGCGTATTAGTTTTCACTGCTATCTAATATTCCATTATTTGAATATGTGTATTTTACACATTCATTCTACTGCTGATGGACACTGGGGTCTGATTTTTAGCTATTTATAATAACCCTGCTATAAACATTTTAATATATATTTTTGGTGTATATGTTCGGGGATTTCTTTGGGCATATGCCTAGGAGTCAAACTGCTGGATCACACAGTATACATAAATTCAACTTTAGCAGTTTATACAAACTGTATTCCAAAGTGGTTATACCAATTAACACTCCCACCAGCAGTGTATGAGGGTTGCTTAACATCCTTGCCAGCCAGCACTTGGTACTATAAAGTCCATTTTTTTAAAAGATTTTATTTTTCCTTTTTTCTCCCAAAGCCCCCTGGTACATAGTTGTGTATTTTTAGTTGTGGGTCCTTCTAGTTGTGGCATGTGGGATGCTGCCTCAGCACGGCTTGACAAGCAGTGCCATGTCTGCTCCCAGGATTCGAACCGGCGAAACCCTGGGCTGCCAAAGCAGAGTGCACGAACTTAACTACTCAGCCACGGGGCCGGCCCCTATAAAGTCCTTTTGATTTTAGCCATTTTGTTGGGTGTGTAGTGGTATCTCATTGTGGTTTTTTTTTTTCTTAAAGATTTTATTCTTCCTTTTTCTCCCCAAAGCCCCCCAGTACATAGTTGTATATTCTAGTTGTGAGTGCCTCTGGTTGTGCTATGTGGGACGCCACCTCAGCATGGCCTGATGAGCAGTGCCATGTCCATGCCCAGGATCTGAACTGGCAAAACCCTGGGCCGTGGAAGCAGAGCACACAAACTTAACCACTCAGTCATGGGGCCGGCCCCTAGGTTTTCTATTCTTTATTAAGTTTTCCAGGAATTTGTCCATTAAAAAAAATAAAAATTTAAATGTATTGGCATAAAGTTGTTCATAATATTCAATTAACTTTTTAATGCCTCTAGGACTTCATGTGGTATCTCCTTCTCATTTCTGATATTATTTGTGCTTGCCTTCTTCTCCCTTGAATTCACCAAGGGTTTGTTAATTTTACTTGTCTTTTGAAGAAGCACTTTTTGGCTTTGCTGACTTTCCCTATAGTATGTTTGTTTTCTATTGTATTCATTTTTCTTTTTATCTTTCCCTCTCTTCTTGACATATATGCTAAATCTTTCCTTTTTTAGATTTTTTTTTTCTGCTATACACATTTTAAGGCTAGATATTTCCCTTCAAGTACTAATTTTGCTGAATCCTACAAGTTTTAACATGTATTTTTTTCATTATGATTCAAAATATTTTCCAATTTCTATGACTTCTTTGATCCATGTGTTATTTAGAATTATATTACTTATATTCTAACATAATTCATTATAGTCAGAAATTATATTCTGATTCCAATACTATGAAATTTAAGACTTGCTGTGTGAGCAAGCATATGGTCAATTTTCATAACTGTTCTCTGAGTGCTACAGAAAAACGTGTTCCTGCGATTGCTGGGTGCGGTATTTTACATTTGCCCTATTGGTCAAGTTTTTTAATCATGTTGTTTAAATCTTCTATATCCTCTATCAATTACTGAAAGCTATGTATTAAAGTCACCTAAGATTATAGATTTGTCTTCTTTTTCTTCTAGGTCTGTCAATCTTTGCCTTATATATTTTGAGGCATTATATACATTAGAGGTACATATAAATTTTGATTATCATAATTTTCTGATGAATTGAATACTTCTAATACTATGAAGTAATCCCTCTTTATCAATAGAAACGCTGTCCCCTTAAAGTCTATTTTGTCTGATATTAAAACAACTATATCATATTTCTTTTGCTTAGTGTTAGCATGATTTATATTTTCCCATACATTTACTTTCAACATTTCTATATCTTGATGTTTTAGGTGGACTCTCTTATGAGGCCTTGATATGACTCTTGCCTACTACTTGTGGTCTCTATTAAGTGGAATTCAACAAGCATTTATTGAGTATTATACTACACCGAGGGGATATAGTGCTGTGAGTAAAGGGTTAAGATCCAGAGTGGGCTGATGCAGGCCTGGTTGAAAATTACCTCAGTGTCCCAGCCTTGAATACAACAGTTAAGATAAATGGGGAATGTTGTGTCTGCTGTGGTTGTGGTGAAAGACTGTATCTAGGTTGGAGGCTTGGGATCCGCAGGAAAACAGTCTAAAAGATGCCTATTATAAAGAATGATCAGAAAAAGGGGCTGTAGCTTCTATGTGTTACAACGACCTCGACTGTGCTTAGCTCTCATCCCTGCAGCTGTATGTAACTTATGCGGATGAGAGGGCAAAAGAAGCTGTGTACATGGACAGCTCTGAATTTCCCGATGAAAGTGTTGTACCTGCTGTATCCTCCAACTTGTATCCTCCTATAAAGCTAAGTAAACATAGTATTAGATTAAAGCCTGTGAGAGTCTGATTGCCAGCTTGAATCCATAAGTGTAGCCACACTGCTGTAACGGTGAACAGTAAAGGCGTGCTCCCTGTCCTCACAGCAATTACAGTCTAGTGAGGAGAGAGAAGTAACCAGGCAATTAAAATGTAGTATTTTAACTCTGTGAGAGGGACTGGACAGAGTACTTTGTAAGCATGTAGGAAGGCTACCTAATCCAGACTTACGAAGATCAGAAAGACTTTCATGGAGGATATGATATTTTATAACTGAAGCACTAGTAGGAGAAGCATTATTATTAACAACTGAAACATTATTAAGAGAAAGTGGAAGAGAGTAACTGGCATAGCTTATATTCTGGGGACTAGAAGAAAGTCAGCATGTCTAGAA